AACACAGGAAAAGTGTTTGATTGGTGAGAAAGCCATGGAATCAGAGTCATGTCTCCTCTTCTACAGGCAAAACGGTGTTTGAAAAACACCGTACATTTGTAAATATATCCTCGATCTTCCACATCTATTCCTTCCCATATTTAATCAATATCCCATATCCAATCCTTTTTCAACGTCCTCCTGTTCTTCTCTCTTCACATCCCTTTCTTCACTGTAACCTTTCAGGGAAAAAAGAAAAAAGAAAAAAGAAACTCTATCAAATCATGGTGATGGATCCTTCAAGAAAAAACTACCCACTTGGCTCAGAAGCAGCAGTTCTCACTGTGGCTTTCATCTTTTTGCTCATAACGTTTCTGTCACTCAAATCAGGTAAAGAATCAATTAATGTTAACCCTATTCATTAAATGATTATCTCAAGCTTAGTTATTAGTTTTCAGACTCGCATGTTTTTTGTTTTTTTAGTTTCTGCAGTTTCTGGTGAAGTTCCTGATGATGAAAAGAGTTTATCTGAGATTAAAAAGAGATTGGGTTCAAGGCCTCCGACTTGTGTTCACAAATGCTCCAATTGCAGGCCGTGTTCCGCGACTCTTGTTGTTTCTCATGACGATAAAAAGGGTCGTCAGAGATCAGCAAAATCAGATCATGATCTTGAAGATGATGAAAGTTACTATCTCCAAACATGGAAATGCAAATGCGGCAATAAGCTCTTTGAGCCTTAGAATTTTTTTTTTTTTAATATTATCAAATATTAAATGTTATTAGTTATCTCCTTCCAAGAAATAATGATTAGGTGAATCTCTGAGGGAAGGAATCTCCATCTTTCTTCTGATCACCATCATCATCATGTTGAGTGTGCTCTGTTAAGATGGATGATACTGCTGTCCGTGACATAGTTTATTAAGACATGTAATATTATATGTTAATAATTATTACTTTACTTAATAAATTATATTTGGTGTTTCAGAATTTTTCTGGGTAGTTGCTTTTGTTTTCTTCATTTTTAATGCATGCATACTGTACAATCTAACATTTAAAAGACTTGTCGTTTCAATCTCTTTCTCTCCCCATTACTGGGAAAGAGACAGATCAAATTTTCATAAATGCGATTTCCATGTTTGGTTCAATGAATAATAAATTCAGATGATATCAAGTAATAATAATATAAATTCATAATGTAGTGTGCTAGGATCACACATTGTGAGGAAAAATAGGTGGTTATGTGGTTTATAAAGAGTTAGATACCCTTCTTTAACAAGTCGGTATTCTAAGGAAAGTTCTATCTAAGTCTATAAAAAAAACCTACTACCCAACCTAATTTCTATCAAAGACAGATTGCTTAATCAAATTCCTATCATTTAAGAGTCGATTCCTATTAAACGGTATTAGAATAGGCCCCACCTTCTGAGTCCATGTAACAAGGCCCAATGGGCTCTCTGAGGGAGGATAGCCAATGATGGTGTTTCGAGTCCACGCAATAGGGCTCAGTGGGGCCCTATGGGAGGGATAGCTGAAGAGGGCGTACGCTCTCTGGAAAAGAGAGTTATACCCAATCCTACAAAAAGACCATTATCTAACCTAATAAAGTTCAAGGCCGACCCAAGGGGAAGGCAGGTGAGGCACCTGCCTAGGCCCCCCCCCCCCCCCCAAAAAAAAGCCCCAAAAATTGGCTCAAAATTATTTTAAGATTTTTTTTAAAAAGATTTACAGAAATACTATTGGGCCTAAAAAAGTTTATAATTTTTTTATCTAAACCGGTCCAAAGGGCCCCAAAAAAGCCGAAAAGGCCCAAATTCATTATAATTTTTTTTACATAAATTTACAAAAAAACCATGTTTCATATTTTCCATTCACACCCCTATATTAACTAAACTAGTTATTTAAGTGTCTAAAATTTCAAAAGACCCATTCAATCCCTAAAATGATGAAAACATTGCATTTCCACCCCTCTACACTGCCATAGTGTCCCTGTCGGCATTAAAGTGATGATTCTGGTCAATTTTCTCACCAAAATCGACTGGATTCATCACTTAATCATTTTCGAAACGTTTTCCCAACCTTGACAACCCCCAATTTGGTCGATTTTTGCTGATTTTCGCAACCCATTTGCATTCTTCACTGCGTGCGACAGCCATTTCTGACATGTATCCGCTGTCGTTGACCTTCCCCGACACCACCATCTTTGTCCCCTTAGTCCCCTCAGCCCCATCCCCCAAACCCCTCACTTACCTGACCCCGGTAGCCCGCTGTCCATCTCTCGCCTTCACAAAAAAGATTAGGTAATTTGGCTATATTATCAATTGAAAAAGATTTGATTTCTAAACTTGAATATAAAAATTTAATTAGTGATTTTGCATCTCAAAAGGCAAGAAAAATTAATTTGAAATAATTTTTTAATATATGCTTATATTATTAAATGGGTCCCAAAGTAACTATTATCTAGGGTCACAAATGTTCTTGAGACGGCCTTGATAAAGTTATTGCATTTACATTTTGTCTTCGGGTTCTATCTTAAATTATAGTGGCATTGAATTTTGAAAGCTGTCTTGTCTTATGAATGTTCATATCTTGAATTAAATGGGTTGTTGAATATAGTTTGTATCCAACACGGAATAAATGCTATGTGCATCCTATAGCACCACAAGTTTCATAAATACTATGGGACAGATAGGCTATAAAAATTAATGGACAACTACTTTTGAGTAATCGAATAGTTTGATAGGAATTTTTATTTTGAGTGATCAAATAGTTTGATAAGAACTCTAGGTGTATTACTAAAAGGTCTCGCGGTTCGAGTCCCTTTTCGATTACTAATAGGGATAGTTATTAAAACTTACTTAATCGGTAGTTCCAAAGTTTGGGAGATCAATTAAGGTACACATAAACTAGCTTAGACACCTCCTGTCATTAAAAAAAAAAAAAATAATTGGACAAGGGTAAAACTTTGTATATCACATCAAAGAGAAGATGCAAAGGAAATTGGTAACAAATAAAAATTGTGTAAAGAGTAAATAAACATACAATATAATTGATATTTTAATATCAATTTAATGATATTGTAATAGTCCTATTGAATCAACGTATAAAATTACGGATGCATACGCTATCAAATTTTATCAACAATGCAAATGTGTGTATATATATCAACAATGCACGTAAATTTTGGGCCCAACATCAGCAACCCTAAGCCCAACCCACCTCATACTTTTTCACATATCATACTGAAAATCTGAAATAAAAAAAAAAAAAAAATCAAAATGGACATTCTTTCTCCGACGCCGTACACACGCCTTAAATCACCGTTTACGGGTTTCCACAAAATCAATCTCCTCCGTCCATCTTGCTTCGCCTCATCCCCGTCGACCACTCTCCAACTCATCTGTACGTCTCCGAGTGCCGTCGCCTCCGCCGTTGTCTCGCCGCTAGTCCGGCCCGCCCGTCCGACCGCCTCCCCAACAAGATCCCGTCCAACTGCCGGTTAGTTTGCTTTATTAAGCATTTCTTTTAATTAATTTTCTGTGATTTTAAGTTATGGAAATTAATATGTAATTTCGAGCTTGAAATTTTCGGTTTATGTAAATTATTCTTGGAAATTAGTTAGTTACAGTAGCGAATTGTTGTATGAAAATGTTTTAAATGAAATATTTATAGCTTGAAATTAGGAAAATTTTCAGAAACCACCTCGAGGTTTGGTTTAATATCATGCGTATAAAAGTTTCGATTTTTTAATCACAAGCCCATCCTCCCGTAACTTGTTTCAGAATTTTTTATTTCATAAATCACCCCTGTATATGGCCTGTGATAAAAAAACTAAAAAAAAAAAAAAAAATATAATAATAATTGGAACTTTTATCCGCCTGATGTTCAACTGAACCTGAGGTGTGTGGTTTAGTTGAATATCTCCCTTGAAATTATGTCTGTGTTTAGTATTATAGTTGCACAAAGACATGCATAATATGTTTGTGTTAGAAGTTTTTCGGGTTGTTGAGTTTGATAGCTTTACCTTGAAACACGGTACTTGTATGAGTTTAGAGATTCTAGTTTGTTATTAGTAGGGATTTTTTTTTTTTTTTTTTTGGAAGAATTTCATAGGTTTAATGTAATGGGCTGTTGGTCATCAATGTGTAGTGTTGGATGGTCTTTCTTAATTGAATTATAGAGGCTTTAATTCTATGACTATAAGAATAGATGAAGCTCAGAAGAAATGAATAAACTTATCATCAAGTTTTTGAATTGCTATCAGGAGTGGTTGGTTAAGAAATCTAGGTGATTGCGTTTCTTGTTCATTTTCTACTACTTCTTTTTGACTTTTTAACCGGCCTGGCAAAAGCAGATGAGATGTACTATGGATGTAGTAACGCTTCAGAACAATTTGTGGCTGATGGGTAGCAAGAGAGGCTTAATATTGATTCCTAGTATGGAGAAGTTGGGAAATTTGTTTTAGCCCCAACAAGATTTTATATCAGATTCACCTTGTGTATTAATTTGTGATAATGACAACAACTAAGATACTGACTTGTTTCATCTAGTAACATGGTAGATATTAGTGGATCATGCAATTTTTTACAGAAATATATGCTCTCACAATATGTTATGGTGAGACGTTGTGGTTTGTAGATTCAGTGCATTCAAGATTATTACCAAATAAATTGATAACTGTCCCGCCAACCTTGTGCATGGTTTCAAATTGAATTATCACTTAGTGGTGTTATCATGATATCATATTGAATATATGGTACTTCATATGAGTAGTGGATGGTTTGGAGGTTAGGGAATAACAAGTTCTCCTAAGTAACATAACAAGTGAACTATTGCACGTTATGTTTTCTAGTTAATATTTTCTTCCTTATGGGTAAGAGTTGAATTGCTGATAGAATTAAGCCTTTTTTATTTGACTGAATCTTCCCTTTCTTGATTGTGTTTTAAAATTCAGAATTACTATCGATTTTTTTTTGAAATCGTGTTTCTCTAGTTGGCATTTAATGATATATTTTTCTTTACAGGCTTCTCTAGACTTCAAGATCGTGTTCGGATCTTCTTTGCAGTTCTTTTCTGGATGTCTCTATTTTTCTGGGCTTCTGCATTTGATAAGAGGAATAATGGTAGACGAAACAAGGGATCAAGGTTTAAAAGATGACCAAGAAGCAGTTATCCTGTATATATGTAAGAGTTGAAGCAATATTAGGAATACATGAAGAAAATTCATCGTTGTTTACATACTTAGTGATCAGAAACTTGTTTGAATTTGTCTTCACTTTTGTAACGTGTATTGAACAAAATTTCAGAACTCTAAAATACAATTTTTCTTCTGCTGGTATTATGACAATGTCTTGCCTCATTGTTGCCTTTTCACTAAAATTCTTTCATATACCATCTTACATATAATGTTTCTACTTTTCGGGGAATCAAATTTGCAATGTTGTCACTATGAATGCAACCTTTGGTTCATTGGAACAAAATAATGATTTGATAATGAGATTGAATCACAGGTAAAGGGCAAAGAGGGCATATGATTGATTTCCTGAAGAGCTGGAATTTGTATTATATTCTTTTGTGATTGATAGCAACTGCAAAATGATTCTGTTAGGTGTGGCATAATGTGGTTCCAGATACTTGGAGCTCTCTGGCTGATTTGAGTGGTCCTGGAATTACCAAAGGTAGGCAATCTACAGGTTTCCAACTTCCAAGCACTTAGATCCAGGTCCTTGCTACGAAATATCCTGACTGTGACCTTTTAATCAACTTTGGTAGTTTCCACTTTCCAGGGAAGGCCACTTTGAATTTGTTTCACCATCTACGTGAGGAAATGAATGATACCTGGAACCCGGCTATTCTACATTATTTTGCAGATTTTGGGCATGATATAGTGCCAATTTTACATGGTTGGTTCAAATTCATCCAGGGTTCGGATCCTAAAATGTAAAAAACAGAAAGTACTCTCGAAGTACTTTGGTTACTATAAGAAATCCCTGGAGATTTATTTCAAGTTTTAGAAGCATAACTTATGATTCATGCATGAAAATATGCGATGGGCTTGACCGGGGAATATTTAGTGGCCCAATTTCGGTCCAAGAATGTCTAAATAGCCCAAGATTTTAACTAGCAAATAGGGGTGGGAGAAATAGTCCGAAAACCGAACTGAAAATTAAGTTTTCTTGTAAATCGGTTCGATCTTTGGTTTGTAGGATTTTAAAAACCAGAAAACTGGTTCGGTTTGGGATATTTTCCCAATGTTTTAACAATCGACTCGAGACAAAACTCGACAAGCTTGCTGGGTCCTGGGTCGATCGGTTGAACCAGCTAGTTCAACTGGTGACGTCATCATGCTGATGCCAGCATGATGATGTCAGCAATATTATTGTTCACAGAATGCAAAATTCCAAAATTTGGATCCAAATCATAAACTCTTGTCAGCATGATGACGTCAGCAACATTACTGTTCACAGAATGCAAAATTCCAGAATTTGGATCCACATCATGAAATCCTGAATAAAAAGTCATTAGCAAAGCATCATCAAACATCATTACATCAATAATACAATAAATTACAAATCAAAATAACAAAATGAAGGAAGAAATCACATAATAGTTGTTTCAACACTTCAACATTCTAACAAAAAATGATCTTCACCCAATGGTCTTCAATCCATCATTCCATCCTCAATTAAAATTCACAGTTCACACACCATCTGACAGATGATCGTCATCATTATTAACATCGGCAACATTATCTACAAAAAATTCTAGCAAAAAAGGAAAACCATAAGTTAAATCTTCCCATTTAAACTAATTGAATATAAACTAGCTACCACCAAATTGAGATTGCTTAAAAAATTGGAAACAACCTTCTAAAGCATCTATTGAGTCATAATAAGAAGGGTGATCACCACCATCTATAGGAATAGCTCCTTTTCCATATAATGATTGTTCCAATTCATCATAATTAAGCTCACCAACCTCTTCTTCCTCATCAACTATCCACCATTCAGTTTTATCAATACTCTCATAATCAATAGGATCATAAGTAATTTTCTTGTAACAACTCTTGAAATAGCAAAATTAAATATTCAAATCATGACCAATAAAGACATCAATGAAAATAACAAAATGAAGAAGGCTTTATACCTATTTTGCAAATGCAAGTTATAATGAGTGAAAACCAAATCATTCAACCGTGGATGCTCTAATATGTTCCTTTTTCTAGTATGTATGCGTTCAAAAGCACTCCAATTTCGCTCACATCCGGAAGAGACCGAAGTTTGACTTAGAATTTTGATTGCAAACTTTTGCAAATTCGGAGCACTAAACCCAAATGTCTTTCACCATTCATCTAATTGAGAATAAAATTATAAATTACATAAGAAATAAACACAATTTCATAACTTAAAAATTAGAATTAAAAAGTTAATAACTATTACATACCCGGTCGTGTGGTTTTGCAAGTTTGAAGAGCAAGCTCACGAGAAAAGCTTTCTAGACGGTCTCGATATAATCTACTCCTCTAGTAATGTTGTCTTGCTCATTTTGAATGCACTTGCTTTACTGTCAATAGTGTCAAGGAAACCATACATGACCTCAGGTTTTTTGGAAAAAGTATCTTCGTCATATTTAAAAGCAGGATTCAAATAATATGCTGCTGCATGAATATCACAGCGCAACATCCTATCCCAACGCATCTTAATAATTGTTGTATAAGGCTTGTACAAATTTTTCTTGTTCTTTAATAGCTTTTTGATCCCCATCCTTGTCTGTACATGCCATCATACACATATCTTATTGAAGGCCTCTCATCTGAGTCTACAATCTGGAGCATATGCATCAATGGACTCACAACTTTGGAAATTATATCAATGTCATCCCAGAACCGGTTATCTACAACTATGGAAATAAAGGCTTTGCCTTGATTAGTTTTTGCATATCGAGACTCCACAAAAGTTTTATCTTTCACTGTAGATTGCAAGTCATGTTTGTGTTGATGTAGGCTGCTCAATGCAATGAAAGTTGTGGCAAAATTGGTTGCACTTGGGCGTATAATTTCTGTCCAACCCTATTCAAGTGATAAACAATAGATGTTAGTACTTGGTAAATTATTAAAAAATGTACATATATAATATGACTTGACAATGTAAATTATAAACATATGAGGTAAAGGAATATAACATGTTTTTTCCTCAGCAAAGCTAGCACAAAGGAATGATTATATACAAACTTTGTAACCTCAGATGCACGTTTCGAAAGGTTAACTATATGACTCATCTCAGCTATGTCTTTTAACATCAAATTGATGCAATGTGCTGCACAAGGACACCAAGTAATACTGCTATATTTTTTAGACAACATTCTTCCAGTAGCTTTATAATTTGCTCTATTGTCAGTGACAAGATGGACAATATTGTTTGGTCCAACCCATAAAGCTATTTCCTCAAACAAGCTGAACAATGTTGCAACATCCTTTACAACATCTAAAGCATCCACTGATTTCACAAAACACACTCCTTTAAGACAGTATACTAGAAAATTAATCAGTGACCTATGTGAATTATCTGTCCAACCACCAGCCATTAAAGTACATTCAACATCGTCCCAAGTTTTCTTGTAACCATCAATAAGTAATTGCTTTTCTTTCCTAGCATCTCTCAATAAATTTACACACAAATTATGATAAGTTGAAATTTTATACCCAAGACCAATTGCAGTTATAGCATCCACAATAGGTTGAAAATAAATTGAATTAATAACATTAATTGGGATGCAAGAATCATAAAATAACCTTGCAACAGCCATGTCTGCTCTCCACTTAGCTTCTTTTCCGACTAAAACGCTCTTAATTGAGGGCTGAGACTCAGGCTTAGTCCTTGGAGCAAAACAATCACCTATCCCATAGATCTTTTTCTCTTAGTGCTTGAAGTTGAAGTTGGAGCTAGACATGGAGAAACCTCTTCACACTCTTGATATTCATCTAACATATCACCCTCAAATTGTTATACACTAGCTCCATAAGGATTGACATTCTACGAAGTTCAACATTTTGTTTATTCTTGGCCCCAATTTCATTTAGTGCTTCTTCAATCTTGAATTTAACATTGAAAGGAACTTTAGAGCACTTTCCAACTTCCCCATTTATACCCACTAGATGTAATTTCACTCGATAAATTCCTCCACCTCTGATTATCTTGCCACAGTAAAGACATGTTAATATCTTCTTCCCATTTTCATCCACGCCCTCATTAACATGTCCCCCATGCTATATCATTTTTTCCTCGAAAAGATTGTGAAACATCCATGGAATCAGATTGTTGACAAGACCCAGATGATAACATATTCTTTGTCTTTAATCTTGATCTCTACCTTGGCGACACAAATAACAAATAAGTTAGTATCGATCATAATCGAAAACATCTTCATAAATTAAATTAAAGATTCAATATGTTTGATTAATTCATAATAAGTTAGTGTTCATTTATCATCATTGACCCCTTTTTATTTAACCTTAAAAAAAAAAAAAAAAAAAATTCCAAGAACCTTAAGCCGTCACTTTCCATGAAATCAACATCTTTAATTTAAATCTATTAGCCTATTTAAAAGCAATTCCACCAACAATGCCTTTATAATATCATACATATAAATAAACAAAAGTGCTAAAATTTGATATGCAATTATAACTCATACTCAATGAGGTTAGCCATTCAAATTTTTAACATGTAAGTCTCAACATTCAACACTTCTCATTCTGCCCATTTCATAAAGTTTTCTTCATCTGCTCTTAAAAAACAACGACATCACAACTCATTTCTATGTGTAACCGACATCCCAAAATATTAAAATCCAACACAAGCTACATTCTACTCATTATTTTTAGCTCAATAGAAACTTTGAAAGGAAACTTCAAGCACTCTCTTCGAACTACTTGACCAAATATCCAAGGAAAGCAATTAATAAACAAAATTAAATCGTTGATATTTGCTTTGGGATGGGGGTTTAACTGTTTAATTTATATAATATGGGTTTAAATGTTTAATTTAAATTTTTAATTCTTTAAATTAGCTGACTTGGTTTTTTTAAAATAACGGTTAGATCGATGGGTGTTAAAGTGCGCCGGTCTAACCGCGGGTGCAACTGGGCAGACTCATAATAACGGGTCTAAGCCTCACCTGGCCCGACTCACCGGCCAGGTCCCAGTTGAACCGATTGGGTCGGGTCAAGTTTTAAAACATTGTATTTTCCAAATTGGTTAACCGGAACCGGTTTTACCCTATGTATATAAGCAAAATGTGTTTTGATTTTTTTGCCTTTATGTTTTGCAATATCTCATTTCTTTACTCTTATTCTCTATTTCGCCTTTATGTTTTGCAATATCTTATCTCTTTACTCTTATTCTCTATTTCGCCTTTATGTTTTGCAATATCTCATCCCTTTACTCTTATTCTCTATTTCTCTTCTCCACCTCCAGTCTCCACACTCCAGAATAGACTCCATCTTCGCACTTTGCCAGCAGCGCCGTCCACACCCATCAGGTAGGGGGGTTCAAAAGAACCGATTAGAACCAAAACCAGTGGGTATTCAGGGTTTGATTCCGGTTCCTACCCAGAACTAGTCGTCAACAGGTAGGTTCCAGTTCCAAATTTTTGGAACCGTTACTGTGCGGTTCCAGCTCCTATAGTTAGGAACCAGAACCAGGAACCGAGACTAATATAAAATAAAATTAAAGAGTAGGAGGTTAATAAAAACCTTTGTAGAAAAAATAATGTGAATACATTTATATTTATATTTCATAACATTTAAAGTAAGTTGGTTTGACTTTTAAGAATGGAGTTTGTAATTTTGAATTTATAATTTGTAATTTTATTTTGATTAACAAGTGCTAGGTTGGGGGGGGTGTGTTATTTGTAAATTTTTAAGGGTTATTTTGCCATTTTAAAAACTTTTAGGGGTAAGGAATTTTACAGGATACCTAGAACCGGAACTAGAATCGTTGTTATAGGTTTCGGTTCTGGGTACCTAGGAACCAGAACCGTTAGTTCCAGTTTCGGTTCCAAATTTCAAGGAACTGTCGGTTTCGGTTCCTTCAAAAAGTGTAGGGTTTCCGGAACCGAACACCCCTACCATCAGGCCATCACCAAACTCAATCTCCAAACCCATCCAGCATCCAATTTGCCGATACCCAGCATCACCACTCACCAACGACGACCATAGTCCACAGTTGTTGTGCTGTAGTTCAAAGCAACCACCCACTCACCCGCAGTCCACAACATCACCACAATAACCACCCACTCACCCATAGACCACAGTCCACAGCTGTTGCGTTGCGCTGGATTTATTCCTTGAACTAGGAACAACAACGATGTCATAGCAGTCAACCGCAGCTATAGTTTCCATCACCATTCAGATCTGCAATCCTCAACTGCTCGCCTGTTCTAAATGTAAAAATTGAAGAATATTAAGGGTGAATTTGAAAACCGGTTAATCGAACCGAATATTCGGTTCAGTTTACAATCGGTTTATTCTATAAACAGGTCTGGTTTCAGTTTGTATTTTGTCTAAACCAAATAATTGGTTCAGTTTCCGGTTGCCTTATCTGGTTTGGTTAGCCAGATTATCCCACTCTTACTAGCAAACAAAACCAAGTTTTCTTCTTTTTTCCTTTCCCCAATGGTAGAGCTTAGGGTGAAAACCGAGCCAAGTTGCTCGCTCAAATAACTTGAATATTAATTGGAGTCGAGTTCAATCACTGTACAACTCGACTTGAACAGCTTGATTAAAACTCAATTAAGCTCGATTATATGAGTTCGAATTCAAACTTGAATTCTAATTTTATGTATGGAGTTCGAGTTTGAACTCGATTTCTCAGACTTGGTCAGACTCGAATTTGAACTTGATTTCATATACTCGAGTACTGTAGCAATCTAGTCGAGTTCGAGTAGCCAAATATTCGACTCAATTTCACCTCTAGTTAGAGCTATTTACACCCACAAAAAGTTATATACTTATTCTTTTAAGAATAAATATTTTAAAAATTTATTTATTTCATCATTTTTTGAACAATATTTTTTTACTGTATTTGATCATTCAAATAAGAATTAATTCTATTGAAAATTTGATGTATTTAGGTCCTCCTAACATCAAATTTGACTTGGAGACTACATAATAGACAAAAAGATATTCTTAATCCAAACATACCCACTACACATCACTCTCATTCTCTCAACATCGGCCATTTCATTATCTAAAAAATTATTATTATTTTTCTTATTTTCTTCATAGAATGAGTCAAACTCATCCGGGTATCTGATTATTTGCAATGCAACAAAGATGAGAATGATGCCTTTGTTTCTTCTCTTTCGTTTATCCTATCATTTTTTTATGTCAAACAATATTGAATTTTCTGCAACTTGTGCTAATATTTTATGTTGGTCTCATCCATATGGACACACCATACTTTTAATTAGTATTATTATTCTCTTATAAAAGGATGGTTTTCCTATAATATTTAATCAATATTGATATCAAAATTTAGAGGGAACGAAGATTGAGATGAACAATTTCAAGGGGTTGGTCTAGTGGTTAAGAAGGTTTACTACTTTCATTGACTTCTTGGATTCAAATCACATTAGGAATTCACAGTTCACACACCATCTGACAGATGATCGTCATCATTATTAACATCGGCAACATATCTACAAAAAATTCTAGCAAAAAAGGAAAACCATAAGTTAAATCTTCCCATTTAAACTAATTGAATATAAACTAGCTACCACCAAATTGAGATTGCTTAAAAAATTGGAAACAACCTTCTAAGCATTTTGAGTCATAATAGAATGGTGATCACCACCATCTATAGGAATAGCTCCTTTCCATATAATGATTCCAATTATCATAATTAACTCACCAACCTCTCTTCCTCATCAACTATCCACCATTCCGTTTTATCAATATCTCATAATCAATAGGATCATAAGTAATTTTCTTGTAACAACTCTTGAAATAGCAAAATTAAATATTCAAATCATGACCATAAAGACATAATGAAAATAACAAAATGAAGAAGGCTTTATACCTATTTTGCAATGCAAGTTATAATGAGTGAAAACCAAATCATTCAACCGATGCTATATATGTTCCTTTTTCTAGTAGTATGCGTTCAAAAGCACTCCAATTTCGCTCACATCCGGAGAGACCGAAGTTTGACTTAGAATTTTGATTGCAAACTTTTGCAAATTCGGAGCACTAAACCCAAATGGCTTTCACAATTCATCTAATTGAGAATAAATTATAAATTACATAAGAAATAAACACAATTTCATAACTTAAAATTAGAATAAAAAGTTAATAACTATTACATACCCGGTCGTGTGTTTTGCAAGTTTGAAGAGCAAGCTCACGAGAAAGCTTTCTAGCGGTCTCGATATAATTATCTTCTAGTAATGTTGTCTTGCTCATTTTGAATGCACTTGCTTTACTGTCAATAGTGTCAGAAACCATACAGACCTCAGGTTTTTTGGAAAAAGTATCTTCGTCATATTTAAAAGCAGGATTCAATAATATGCTGCTGCATGAATATCACAGCGCAACATCCTTCCAAGCATCTTAATAATTGTGTAAAGGCTTGTACAAATTTTTCTTGTTCTTTAATAGCTTTTGATCCCCATCCTGTCTGTACATGCCATCATACACATATCTATTGAAGGGCTCCTCATCTGAGTCTACAATCTGGAGCATATCATCAATGGACTCACACTTTGGAAATATATCAATGTCATCCAGAACCGGTTATACAACTATGGAAT